GGGAAATCTACTTTATTTTCGACTGCACGGACCTGAGTGAAGATGGAGAGATTTATTTTTTTGACCACGGACATCTTTTGACCATGTCTTTTTAGACAAGCTTAGCACAATCAAACCAACACATTACAAGAAAATGGAAATAAATCTTTATTTGGAGAAATATGTTATTAAGGGAATTATAGGTTAAAATAAGGCCTAATAAATGTTTAGTCAGAAAACCCAATGACCCAATAATATATTCGAGAGTTATAGATGACAAGACTTTTGTTTTAAGTTACGTGAGGTAAGTAACAGTTATCAATATTTCCAAATGTGTTCTGCACTTATAGACTGAATATATGTCAACTAATGTACAAACACCCACAGTTTATTCTACTATTCTTATCTAGTTTATAATGACAGCTTGTAATTTTTAGAAATATAAATTATACAACTTAGACGCATCTTCATTTGCTTTCAAAATTTAAACAGTTACAGAAAGCCAGTTATCATCAACGTAGTCTGAAACCCCCCACCACACCCACCCCCGTCAGTACTGGTCAGCCTTACCTTCAGGACATCAGTAAAACCAGAGAGTTTGATGCTTTTCCCGTCCAGGCGACTCAGTAGACTCTTGACCACTGCCTTGTTTTCCACCTCTCCTTCGAATCTAATGAAATCCATGGTGCTCTTAGAAATCCTGAGCGCTGAAAACTGCTCCGGCGCCACCATTGCTTTAACCCTCTCCATGACCTCCCAGTTGGAGATGCTTTTGCCTGGAAGTTTCAACTGGGGCAATGCCACGCTGACAGTGATTTTGGCAATGGGCTTGAGGTAGAGGTTGGACTCAGCAGAGAGGCAAACTGCCTCAGTGGTGTCATGGATGATGGTGGTCATAGTTGCAGAGAGATGCTGAATGGATTTAAAAAAAACAACAAATTAATTAAAATTAAATTTTACATCATAAATATTTTGTTTACATATGATTATTTTTTGTATATGATATGATACACATATATGATATATTGATTATATATTCATGTGGTTTATCTGATGTATATATATATATATAAATGCATATAACAAAAACATTTCCAGCTTATATGCAAGTCCTTGCCCTTAACTAGTCTTGGTGAAACATGAATTTATAAATTCTTCCTCAAGAATGAGAAATGTCAGCATCGTGTTATTATTTTGTTATAATTGGTCAGACTAAAAAGAAAAATGTTAGAAGATTAAATAACTCAAAATAAACGTCACATTAACTGATGCAAATTTCAAGAGATTGACATTAATATATTTTATAAAATGGCGAGGGGTATTGTATTTGTTTACGTAAGCGATTTCACTTAATGTGCCAGAAATAATTGCAACATACCGGCCTCATTCTGTAAACACACAGTCAAAATGTAAACGTATACCAAGAAGTCGGACGTGAAAATATAAACAGGTATAATAGTGACGTACTAAATACAGTGTTTTAGATTATAAAGTATACTTCTGGATTGTGGAGACTGGCGTTTTACACAACGTAGGGATCCGTTATGTACCATAATATCGACAAAGGTTTTGTCTTTATGTTCCTGCGATAACTTTCACCTCTTCACCCGAAAAGACAAAAACAGAATGTCCGATTCGTGTGGATTAAAACAAAAGGTTTGATCGTATACGGTTGAAGCAACCGGGGACGTATTTATTTAGAACACAACGCTAGAACACGTTTAGAGAGTGAAAAATAAACACACTTCTTGTTTATTTAAGTCAGTAAGGTGAGAGCTAGTTAGCTTCTATTGCTAGGTAATGTGGTGAACTGCGTCTGAGTCATTTTACCACAATAAGTTTAACGTCGTTTAGTCAAACAAAAGCTCCTTGGTACTTACCTAACAAAGGTCAGCCCCCTTTATATATATAAAATCCAATAAATATCTGTAAAGTTTTGGAGAGAGCTTCACAGTACCGGGGAATATACAATACTTGCAACTTCCGCATGCAGCGAACTCTGACCTTCAAAGAGGAAGTTGAAGTGAGGCATTTTACGACAGTGCCACCGTGTGGATCGATCATTTCGCCAATTCTACTTTAACTGCAATTATACCACTAATAAAACCACTGCTGCTATTATAACTTCTGCTACTGTTAACACAAACTAACGACAATGAAATTATATTTGATTATTATCACATTAATACAGGTTTCCTTATTTAACATTTTAATATAACATTGACAGAAAATTAAGTCATGGTGGGCTGTGAATTAAGCATTGTATTCTTATTAAAAGTGTTTGGGCTTGGTTACTCAGTATTGGTCATAAAAACATATATTATTGGAATTATATGTCATGTTTATGTATATGTACAAGATATATGATTTTATGGCACTTTGTTCTTTAGAAATAAAAGCGAACAGGGTCGTATATTTACATCTCACTGGCTTCAACGCCTATTCTGCATTAATAGTAACAAGTTATGCTTTGTATAAATGCCAGCGTCGCTGTGGTAACTTTGTGGGGGAAAGTGAGAGATGTAGCGATAGACCCGAGAAACAAACTGCATGGCACAGTTTCTGTGAAAAGCTGGCAAAGGAATTTACATAATGGGCATTACTCCCCTCACAGTGTATGTAGGTCAGTGGCTGCCGTCTCTGTAGCTACTGACCGACTGCAGCGAGTCACTGCTGCAGTGGTTCGGTAACTGCATGGCTGAATAGCCCTGTGTCTGAATGGTGCTGAGTAAATAAATCTGCCCTACTGACAGGAAGCCTCCGGTCCCATTCTATAACAAGTGTATTGAGCAACTGAAAAAACAAAGTTGACAAAGGTAAAAAAAAAAAAGTTTACGGTGAAGAGATGTAAACACAGTAATTCTACTAATTTTGCAGTGTCCGCAGGAACAAGTGTTAAGACCACAGCTGTTTTGAAATTTTGCAGTGTCTGCAGGAACAACAAGTGTTAAGACCACAGCTGTTTTGTTTAGTTTGAAAATTAAAACCTTATCAGTTTGACAGAACAAAAAGTTGTTTTGTCATTTTAACTCAGCAGAAAAGTGGAATTCTTCTGAATCGTGGTGTGATTGCATTGTCATATTTAAAGACCAGACAGAGAAACAAAAATGACAGGAGCGTTTTCACAACTCTTATTAGCTTAGCATCACAGCATGTCACAGAAACAGACAGACAGACACAATGAACAACTGACATGACACAGCATTTCCCCGCCCCCTTTATCCATGCAGTTTAAAAACATCTGAAAAGCTCATACAACACCAAAATCTCAAAAGACAGTTTTTCAAAGATCTTTAGGAAATTTCACTGCATAAGAAATATTCACATTTTGAGAGAAAAGTTAAGAAGTATGTGCTTTCCCCCGGGAAACAAGTACAGCATATACATTTCTACATTCTTTAGAGTTCACAAATGACACGGACGAGACTGATCAACAAATGGAACGTCACGCCGCAACACAACGGGATCTTTGTTGGAAGTTTAATGTGAACGGGATCAACAGGATCTTTGTTGGAAGTTTAATGTGAACTTTTTGGGAACGCCATACTACACTACTGTATATGTACCGTTGGATTGAAATGATGCACAAAATTGCACATTTGTGGAATAATAACAATTGGAATGGGAAATGGAAATATTCAACACCCGTCCCCCCGTAAACACTGTAAAAAACGTGCAACAGACATTCAGAAACTCACACCAGTCAGTGCCCCCTGCCATTAAAACTACAGAAAGGTGTAAATCAGTTTTGAGGTACATCATGGTTAGAAGAGGAGTACATTTACAGTATCAGTGCTGCTGGCTTTGACTGTGCTTTTTAAACACCCTGTGTGACTGGAGAGTGTCTTTACATCATTAACAGGCTCATTTAAACCCATGGCAGTCTGGAAGTACTGAAGGTATTGTAGTGATATAACACATGTTAGAACTTTTAGAATAGTAAGGTAACAGTACCGTACTCTATTCACGCGAGGTGAACAGGAACCGCTGCAGCTGCCATGGTTTTGACTGGAGAGGTTCTCTCCCCTTTATTGCCGGCAGTTTTCAAAGTGACTAGTGCAAACGTGACGACATGACACGGTTATCTGGACAGACGACACATCTGTGATGACAACCGCTTATATGTTAATATCTGCTACTTGAAACAATAAGAAATATTCACATTATTAAAAAAGAAAATACTTTAAGGAAACACCATCACCATCCAGCGGAATTAGGAAGTGTAGAGAGTGAGCTGTTAGAATTATCACCCGAGAATCAACAACCGTGTGAAAAAACCCCCCAAAAAAACAACTTTTGTGAGTTTTAACTTCTGTGTGATATAGTGTTTAGAATTAATTAAAATGAAAGCTGGTGTAAATTTGCTACATTAACATAAGTGCATAAATATAATGAAAACATCAGTTACATAAACAACAAATATTAATGAAATCAAAAGTAAATCGCTTTTTAAATCAACGGTGTCTTAGTGAAAAAAAAAAACATATATGTAAAAACAATATGAAAAATCTGGTTATTTCTTTTGTGATCAACCTAAAAAAAAAAGCTTGACTACAAAGTTTGGTGTGTGTTAGAAATTCTGGCAGATTTTTTAAACCAAAATAAAAAAGTGAAATATTTCCCGTAAATCCAACTGGTACAACATATTTTTCTGCTGGTTTCAACTGCTTGGAACTCAACCGAACAGGTTTGACAGTGGCCGAGTGCGGAGAGGACTGCTGTTGAGGTCGTCTCCTCCACCTCCCACTTCTCCAGAGTCCCTGAAGGAGGCGCTGTGAATGATCTGGGCTCGGTGGCGTCCACGGTGCAGACGTGCATTCAGGCGGCTCAGCGACGACTTCCGCTGCATTCCTCCTTTACTCTTCACATTCCCGGCCACTTCCTCTGACGCTTCGGCCGCTGAGTTCAGCAGCCGCAGCGGGTTCAGGTTCCCAGCGAGGACTCTGGGAAACCTCCAGCCACGCCCTCTCCCGCCATTGGTGTTTTCACCATCTGACTCGGCCCCCGGTGAAGTGACCAGTCCGGCCTCCTGCAGGTCGGCAGCCACGGGTGGGGGAAGGTACTGGATGGCTCGTCTCCCACTGTAGTCTCGAGTCTCTGGGTTTGCATCCCAGTCTGACAGCAGCACTCGTACCACCTGTCAATCAAAGCATCAAATCAATTCAGGATCAATTACAAACAACGCTGCCAGTCTGCATGTGTCCCAGGGATTCGTGAAGCACCGATCCAGTACCAACATCGCTACCAAGTGGAAAAAGAAAAAGAAAAATTGAAAAAAAAAAGTTAAGGACAGTTTTAACCTTTTGAGACAGTACATGATAATTTTTGTATTGATGTATTCACATTTGCTATCCTGTCTACTCAAAAGAGAAAATGTTATTTTGACATGACTGTATCCACAGCGACCTCTGTATCTCTGTCAAAGTTAGTGCTATTGTATGTTTTTGAGAAAGAAAAGATTTCACATTATTGTAAATGCCCCTTTAGTGGACAGTGTGAATTAATTCCAGGACAGGTCATTAAAAGTACGAGCTACAGTTCGACAATGTTTTGAAATAAGATCTCTTTGGATTTAAGCTGCAGTGGAGTAATGATCTGCTGCTTCAGTGATGCAGATGTAACACACGACACCCTGTCGCCGCCACTGTTGTAGCAACCCACCTGTGTGTGTCCATGCATGGCTGCCAGGTGCAGCGGCGTGTATCCAGCACTTGATCTCACGTTCACATTCACAGGTATAGTGTTTTCTTTGGCGAAGGCCAGCAGCTGGGAGAGCAGGTCAACTTTGCCCTGCTTGGCTGCCCAGTGAAGACAAGTGAAGCCGGTCACAAAGTCTTTCTTATTCACCAGGCTGGGCTCCACAGCCAACAGAGGCTGCAGGCTTTCCCATAGGCCGTCGGATGCACACAACATCCACTCGTGCTCCAGAGGGTCCAAAGTCACCGAGGCGCAGTCTTCATCGGTGGCCGAGGAGAGGATGGACACCGTGTCACCCTCACTCTTCAAGGAGTCCCGGAGGCGTGAGCCGCGGTTGATAAGAGACCTCCGAACCTGCGGCAGACAAGTGGAGTCAAACGTTTAAAATGTTCAACAAACCAATTCTGAGATTTCTTTGGGAAAATGGCCTGATTCCAGAAGAATGAGACATGATTAGTCACAAGACCAAACTAATACCTGCTTAGAGAAGGAAACCAGTTTGATCAGCTGCTATTCTGGTCTGATTATCATTGAGTAAGACGGTGGGTCAACCTGCTCTGTTCTGACAAGTCTGGTTACATCACTGTGTCGATACTTGAGAAATTAAAAACTGTCTGCGTTCATGCATTCATGATTGGTGGCTTTGGTTTTAGAGCAGAACCAAAGAGAGAGCTTGTCTTCTCTATGTATGTTCATTTTGTCAGACAAAAACAGTAAAAGCAGTAGGGAACGCAGTAAAATACCTGCGGAGAACTACTCATCATCAGCTCGATGAAGTTTCTTCGGCTCCCTTTGGGCGTGTTGATGTCTCCTAAAAGATCCACCCCCTCCAGACTGCTGTCCTCAGACAGAGCGCTGGTCAGCATGGCCCTCTGGGAGCCCTTGGAGATCCTCCGTGCAGCTCTGACCTGCTGACTTTGAGACCATACCGTCTGGTGTGCCTGGTCCAGATCTGGCATCCCAATAATTGGGGCTGACTCTCGCCTCCTCCTATCCCTCAGCTTCACCTCGCCTCTTCCACCAAAGGTAGAATTCCCAGGGTTGGTCTTGGTCTGGGAGGAGGTGGAGGGCTGCTGGTTGCCATTTGATGGTTGGCCATTGTCCAGGTTTGGACCAGGAGTGCTGGGTACTTCTGTGAACCCATTTAACACATTTTTTTTTGTTAAGGACAGTTTTAACCAAAACATGTTTTTTTAGGAAGTTCATGATCCTGTAGGCACACCGGAATCGACAAAGAAACAATGACAACAAAAAATAAAAATACAAAATGTAAAGATAGTAAGGCAAGCAAAAGAAGAAGAAGAGTGACAACGACTTGAAATTATTTAATTATTATTATTTCATTTTTGGCTAGTTTATATGCTTATATGCTTTTGCAATTTATAATCCTGGATTGTTGTTTCTATCTTCAAAAAACCCCAACCAATTCAAACCAAAACATTGTTGTTGAAGCACAAAAGTTACGACACAACACGTTTGTTTGTAACACAAAGGTGGAAAAAATTGGCAACCCATCTCACATGACACACGGTTGTGATGTAACGTTTCTTACACATACCCTTGTGTTTAATGTAGAAATAAACAGCGTGGTCTAGAAATACGCAGTTATTCTATCATATTCATGTGATGACCCTTGAAAATGCCGAGTACTGAGTACTCGGTAAACGAATGGATTATGGACACTGGATGCAGTTAACTGAAATGAGCGATTAATTGCACAATAACGTTAATTTAAACGAGCTATAATGGGAAATAATCCGTTGTATAAAACCAACATTATACATTATAATCACACACCAAAACAGCATTATCACCTGTTTGTTCTCCGTTGTCGGGGTTGCCATTAACACCGTTGTCCACGGGCTGCGGGATGTTTCCGTTGCACTCCGCGTCCGCACACATCACTGACTCTTCACTATTCAAACACACGAATTTAACACCATCTTCCACTTTCATCGAAGCCACGCTCTCCACGGCACGTTCAAACACCTCGCGATCCACCCCTTCCTCCGACTGCTCATTTCCCCCGAGATCTGATAGGAAATGATCAATGAGCTCTATCTCCTGGACCCTCCCTCTCTCCATCAGGAACTCCTGCACGGCTTGCTCAGTGATTTTGGGGTTCGACATCGTCCTACTGGTGGACCGTGAACACGCCGCTAATAAAGGGCATTTCTAAAAGAAACGTTTCCAACTGAGTCCGCGTTGAGGTGGCAGTCATGCCCCGCAGTCGATAACAGATGACAGCATCATCTTCTCTATGGCTTCGTCCTCCTCTTCTTCCTCCCCTCCCTCTGGGGTTTACAGCAGTATCGGGCAGTGACTGCTAGAGGTCGCAGTTTGCTGGAAGAAACACACACCAACCCGGACAAACCACCGATTTAATTATAAGCACAGCATTCGCATTAACTACCGGTTAATGCAGCACATTTGCCGCCATCTTGTGATTGGCAACATAAATACCACAAAATAAATATCTCCTGTTAATGTATATTGGCATACTTATTCATTGTAGTTTATAGGAGGCTATATTTCAGGGTCGAAATTTTTGGTTGAAACATTGAAGCGTGAATGTACATGTTAAATTCTATTTGGTTGCAAATTCAGTAAGCGACGTTAAACGTTTATTAAAGTAATTCAAATCAATCTAATTAATTAAAATTAGTAGGGCATGATAGAAATTAATACGTTCTACAATCACAGAAACCCCCCAAAAGATCCTAGATTCATCCTAAAATTTCAATACAAGTAGAGTTATATTCGAACAACCGAAAACAAATTAGCTTCACCGATCTTTTTGTGCTTGGTTTATAGTTTGGCCGGGATTTTGTTTTTATTTAGTGCACATTTAATACTTCGCAAATAAATGTAATACTATATAAAACTATTTTCCCGCAAATATATTCAACAGTTGCACAGCAAGAAAACGTCAACTTAATAAAAATGTTTTTGTTTTCCTCGTATTTCTTTTAATTTTAAAAAAAATAGAATTATTATTCTGACAGCAGTTCACATACCACAACGGACTGTACCACTATGTAGGGAAGGGGTGGTGATAATGAATGGATTGAATGCATGTGATAAGAATGTGTAAGACATTAATATTTTTGTTAACATTAGAAAAATAAGAAATATCTTAAATAATTTTACCTTTACATTTATTTAAGTGTTGTGATTAAGACATTAATATTTTTGTTAACAATAGAAAAATAAGAAATACCTTAAAGAATTTTACCTTTACATTTTGAGTGTTGTGAATAAAAGTGTAAAACCACACGTTAAAAAATTATCCTAATTCCTGCGTGGTCTGGGTTGGTGTGGTCTGTCCAGTTGTCGATAGTCGACACTGTTTGAGGCGGGCGGTCCTCATCCGGATTGTATTGTAAAAGATAATCGGTCGTTACACTACATCTGTGCTGTTTGTGCATTTAACTCAGGTACAAACTTCAGTGGAAAACCATGGCTTCTTCGGACGTTGCTCGGCAGCCGGTGAGTCCTTTCTTTTCTTTATGGCTGACAAATGGCAATTCCTAACAGTTAAACAGGGAGTGTCCAGGGTTAGCATTGTGCTACAGCTAACATGATTACTAGTTTGTGTCTAAAGTTATTACAAACTTACAACACAATGGTACAGTTTTAAACAGCATATTAAGGTTCTATTACGCCTTTATAGCGACTTCCATTTAAAATCTCAAGCATGACGTAATAACCACAATTCCAAACTTTCCAAATGGCATTCCGCATTGTCAAAACAAAAAAGTGCGGTTAAACAGCCTGTAGTAGTCTTTGTACTTTTCAGCACACGTTATTAATGGAGACAACTTTGATTATTTACATGCAACACTAAATCTGTACCTTTTTTGACTAAAACTGTTATCTTTCGTCAAAGTTTTCCAGATTTCTGTGGGGGTAGGGGGGCGTAGAGGCGGTGCTACTCTGTAAACATTCTTTGGTTCCTTTCAGAACGAGTTTTGTGGAATACTTAGGCTTATTAGTAAGAATCGTGTTATTACTCGAATTTAACCATATTCATTTAGCACATCGCATTTGTCATCGTTTGAATGGGCGTATGTTTAAATATTATCAATATAAACCCCAAAACATACGGTACTTTTGGCCAGAAAAACGTGGAGAATTTCAGAACAATGGAATTCTATGGAATGGAATGGAACTCTGGCAGAGACTTCATGTTTACTTCATAAACCTTCTCCTAGAGAGCAGTGAACGTTGGCCACTGAAAACCCAAAAGTGAACTAGTCCAATGGTCTGATATAGTTTATTATTATATTGTCAAACAGTGGCTCTTATAACCGTCAATGCATGAGTAAATGTATTATTTATTTTCAAAAAAAAAAAAAAATCCAAAATAAAAAAATTTGTCTGTTGAAATAATCTTTCCACAGGATAAAGGAGTACGACCCCTGAACCTGGCTGGTCATGTGGGTTTCGACAGCCTCCCAGATCAGCTCGTCAACAAATCCATCTACCAGGGTTTCTGCTTTAATATTCTCTGCATTGGTATGTCATTAAGTAGCTGCTGTTATTCAATTTAACAAGTAAACCAAAACAAGCTATACAAACCTATGGCATTTCAATTTCATCTTGTGTTTAATAAAACATTTTTGTGACTGTAGGTGAAACTGGTATCGGCAAATCTACTCTTATGGATACCTTGTTCAACACCAACTTTGAGAACTTTGAGTCGTCTCACTTTGAGCCGCAGGTGAAGCTGCGGGCTCAGACGTATGACCTACAGGAGAGCAATGTTCGCCTGCGCCTCACGGTGGTCAACACTGTGGGCTTTGGAGACCAAATGAACAAACAGGAAAGGTGAAAAAAAAATTAGCAATAATAAAGATCTGCAGTTTGATTGTTTGCAGGAGAAACTGGCATTTTAGTAATTTAGTGGTTAGTTGACATTGATTGCCTTATTAAAATAGTCTGTTTGCCAGTTTACATACTTGATCAACCTTATGTTTTTCCTGCAGCTATCAGCCAGTGGTGGACTACATCGACAGACAGTTTGAGAGCTATCTGCAGGAAGAGCTAAAGATCAAACGCTCTCTGCACAACTACCACGACTCACGAGTCCATGCCTGCCTTTACTTCATCTCCCCCTCAGGCCACTCACTAAAATCTCTGGACCTGGTCACCATGAAGAAACTAGACAGCAAGGTAAGCAAAGGGTCACTATAGGTCAAGGGGTTCTCTGTTCATCACACTGTATTCTCTATATGTGCATACTCCCATTAGTCACCTGAAATAAAATATCACTGAATAGATGCTGCAAATTTTGAAATCTTGCAGCTTTATGTTGTGCATTGGAAAATAGCTAGAAGTTAGAAGAATCTTGACAATTTGGTGGATATCAGTAGCATAACAAAATAAGCATGAACAACCTTATTGATCACAGCCAAAGCACAAGTTTTTTATCTCCTCGCTAACTATATGAGTGCCTGTTATGGCATTCAAGTACAAACAGTAATTTTTCATCGCTTTAAACTATTCTCACCTCATACTTTAATACTCTCACTATGAAAAAGACCATGATTTTGTGGAAGCTCATCTCAAAAACACCTTTAGAGTTTAACAGGTTTTTGACCAGTGTGAATTAAGGTGAGGTCATTTGGCAGTAAACAGGATTCAGCAGCTCTGATTCATGGATTCCTGAGCGTTGAATACTCAGGTGTCGTCCGTAGCTGTAAAGAGCTGTACTCCACCCTCAGTCTTCAAAGTAAGAGAGAAAAGCACAACAGAACATCTGTCAGCAGCGATGGTGAAGCCAAACCATTTGGCAGAAGGCCTCAGCTGAGTACAGGAACACAACACAGCCATTCAGTTTTAGTTCTACACATCGAAGGGAGAATAAAAACCAAGACGAGACTACGACCATTGTTTTCCTTAATCACCTGAGGCTCAGTATAACTATTGATGGGCTCCTCAAACATCCTAGAGGTTACACAACGAAATTACTGAAGATGATACTAAAATACTCACTAAACATCAGCACTCAAACATTCATACAGTGGGTCTTGTTGGTGTGCAACAGCACATATAAAAAATACATATCAGTTGTCCAAGGGGAAAGGGAGAAAAAGTGGTGCAAAATTAATTTGTTTTCAGTCCCTGTGATAGATTTATTATTTTCCTTCAAAGGGTTATTGAAAAGAAGAATGTTAAAAAAAGGACCATTTACAGTATTGCAAATATTTAGCTGTACTGGTTTATTGGATCTTCTGTTTATAAAATCCTGGTCAATTGGCCTCATTGACAAGAAACGCTTGTTATAATCGACAAACAATTTCATTATTTTTCAGATTATTTTTCCCTCGTTCTGACAATGAATCAAACCCTGATATAAAACTGTGGTACCAAACAAACCATGACCTTTGTGTTCCTTTACACCCCTGGGGTTCGTGTCGTGTATTGACTTTTAGAAGTAGTGTCACAGGTTTGCCATAATCAGCCTAACAAATAATGACACTGCTACTCTAACTAAAGGTCAATGTTTTGATTCCTGCCTCGTCCAGACTGTGTCCTCGGGGACGCCGTCTGCGCTCTTGTTGCTGATGCTAATGGTTGTTTAAAGGGATTGTTACATATAGAAAAGCACTATATAAGGAAGTTGATTTCCCTTTTCAGCACAAGAAGCTGTCCTTTGGTTGGTTGTCTCCACTCTGCTGTGTTTTTTTTTCATCCTTAGAAGTGGTTAATTCGGTCCAACCATCTCAGACTCCTCCCATTACCCTTAAAGTGGTCAGAAACTTTCCCATGCTCTCTGTGTGCAGTGACTCGGTGTTTCTTTGTCTGTTTGTGTGATTTCACTGCTCTGGAGTGTCAGTAGCCTTGGATTTGCATGTGAAAGGATTAAAAAAAGCAGTGGAATGTTGTTGCTCACTCACTCAAGTTGTCCTTTTGTGCCTGAAGTTAGTTAGAGCTGTTTGTTAAATGACAGAAAAACTGTCCGTTACTCAGGCAGCTGTTGGGATATCTCTTCTAGCATTGTTTTGTTTTCTTTCTTGGGATCAGTGTGTGTGTCTGTGAGTGTGTGTCTGTGTGGCCTGGCCCTGAAGCGGGTCCAGCGACAGTAACTCAATACAAGCCTTTGGCTCTGGTATGACATGATGACGGACAGGCAGGAATGTGGGATGACTGAGACAGTGTGGGTGGCTGGTCCAGAAATAACAGCAGGAAACTTGATGTACATAAAAAAAATTCAGATGAAGTTTAAAACATTAACAGTGAAAAACAGGAAGACCAAGGCCATCCTTAGGAAAGTCCCTTTGAATCTGATGCCGAATTGGCTGCTGAGGTTTTGATATTCAACCAACTTTTTGGAGTTTGTAAAAACTCAAATCTCATTTCAGGAACTTACTGTATATACCTGTAGTTTGTAAAAACTCAAATCTCGTTTCAGGAACTTACTGTATATACCTGTATATGAAAATAACAGCTGTGGCAGGAATGTTTTTTTGATTGACTACCTTTTGTTCTTTTCTTTTTTTTTGCCATAGGTGAACATCATCCCTGTCATTGCCAAAGCTGACACGATCAGTAAGAGTGAGCTACACAAGTTCAAAATCAAAATCATGAGTGAACTGGTCAGCAATGGTGTCCAGATTTACCAGTTCCCACTGGACGACGAAACTGTGGCCAAAGTCAACACCACCATGAACGTACGTGTCCAAAACAGACTTTAACATTGAAAGAGAACATTGTATATTTAAGGTCATGAATGACAACTATGGTGAAGTCATTTGTAACTAAAATCTATAGTCTTACATTCACATAAAGTACACCACCAAGATACCTTTATCTACAACAATCTTACCACATATTTTAATAGATACATATTTCATGCTGTGTCTTGTTTTTCAGGGGCACCTGCCTTTCGCTGTTGTTGGTAGCACAGAGGAAGTGAGTGTGGGCAATAAGATGGTGAAGGCACGTCAGTATCCCTGGGGTGTTGTACAAGGTGAGAGGTGTTACAATTATATTTACTGATGAAAGTAAATCGCTGTCAGTTCTGTTTCTGCGTATGGATGTGGGCCTGACGTAGTCTGTTACGCTTGTCAGTGGAGAACGAGAACCACTGCGACTTTGTGAAGCTGAGGGAAATGCTGATCTGTGTCAACATGGAGGACCTGAGGGAGCAGACGCACACTCGCCACTACGAGCTGTACAGACGCTGCAAACTGGAGGAGATGGGATTCAAAGACACCGACCCGGAGTGCAAACCCGTCAGGTGGGCACTGAAATAATTCTCAGACTAAGACCATCTGACGAAGGCAAAAATAAATGACGTCCATCACTCTTATACAGCTTAATCATGTAAAGGATCGCAGAGACGGTGGTACTGGTTAAACACCATTCTTTCTGTGTATTATGACGTGTTTGTCTTTGACGTGTGCTGTATGTGTGTGTTGGTAGTTTGCAGCAGACTTACGAGGCCAAGCGTCAGGAGTTTCTGTTGGAGCTGCAGAGGAGAGAAGATGAGATGAGGCAGATGTTCGTGCAGAGGGTGAAGGAGAAAGAAGCCGAGCTGAAGGATGCTGAAAGAGAGGTAAAAAAGATGCAGGGCCGTTGTTATTATTGGTCATCCTCAGACTGATGACTTTCATGTTAATGACCATCCCTTTATGTGATTTTGTATTGAATGTTTAGGTATTAAAAATACCCAGACTAATGTTTTAATGAATTATTAAACTTGCAAGGTGTATATATAAAAAAAATGTCAAAATCAGCTAGAAATTGTTTAGTCGACCTGCAATACCTCAGCACACCACCTAGAGGTCGTTATCCCTTTATGTGATTTTGTATTGAATGTTTAGGTATTAAAAATACCCAGACTAATGCATTAAACTTGCAAGGTGTATATATATAAAAATGTCAAATCAACTAGAAATGTTTCAGCTGTCCTGCAGTACCTCAGCACACCACCTAGAGGTCGTTGAAAATCTAATGTTTTTGAGAAACACATTCAGATCACTGTGGGAATGTGGGAGATCCTACTGTCCTCTGCTCTTCCCCCATCCCTCGACCCCCCCTCCTCCCCACCACACACACACTCTGGAAACCACTGCACTGTTTTAAGAAACAGAAAACATTACTCCAACCATCACATTATAAATATTCAAATGATTCTCAAGTTTGTGTTAAGTTTTTTTTCTCTCCATATACTGATAATATTGGCAGCTTATCCTTGTTTTCTCTCTTGGTGCCTTTCAGCTGCAGAGTCGTTTCGAGCAGTTGAAGCGCCTCCACGCCGACGAGAAGGCGCAGTTGGAGGAGAAGAAGCGACTTTTGGACGAGGACCAGAGCTCCTTCAGTAAAAGACGAGCCGCCGCGCAGCTCCTGCAGGCCCAGAGTCTCACTGCCAATGGCAAGAAGGACAAGGACCGCAAGAAGTAAGAGGCTTGGATTTGTATCGTATTTAACAAACCGACACAGCCATCTGGTCGTAGAAGTGGAGCCCAGGAAATGGAGCAGAAGTAGAAATGAAACACTGGGGGAACTGAACCTTTCCAATGCCCAAAGACAGAAGGGGAACGCTGATTTGGAATAATGAATAGTTGACTGTTGCTGATGTGATTTGTGGCTCTGCGCAGTCCATTTGTGATTAATGTCCATCTGTCTCCTTCATTCTGTCTTTTAGTTCTGGCTTCATGTGAAGACTGAAGTACCACTCCACTCTCACCAGTATAACCTGCAGCATTTTGCCCATTTTTTTTCCTCAATGGGACCACGCTCACATCCTTGACCAGGAAAAATCCTAAACAAAGCAGCAGCAAGTGACATCGAATTTGTGCCAAAGTTTAATGACTGTACCCAAGAATACTGTGTACTGTTAGTATTTTAATCCCCTTTATATATATTTTTTACCTCTTTGTGGAATATGTTGTATTTATCCTCTTTTTTTTTTTTTATAGAAAAACCTTTTGTTAGGATTGATTCTTCTCACTAGGTGCTTACGACAGTTAGAAACACACAGAGGTACTAATAACAGAATATGTTATCTCTCGTCATAATGTAAGACGTTTACATGTCTTTTATTCTACCACACCAGCCTCACGACTGTCTTGCCACGAGTTGTTTTCATAATTTATTTTGTACTTTATAGCAGTGTTTCCCAACCTTTTTTGGGCCATGGTGCATCATGACATTTAAAAAAAAAATCTTTACACAGTATGACACCTGGGCCTGTTTAGTTGAACACAACACTGATATACTCGCAGAAATTAAAAGTGGTTTCACTCCAGTCCAAAGAAAGTGGTTGGATAATGTCCCACGGTACACCGGATGATCTTTCACGACACACTAATGTGCCACGGCACAGTGGTTGGGAACCACTGCTTTTTGGGATTAACTTGGGACATCCATGTGGAACATTGCTGACAATCTGTAGAGACGCCGTGTATTTTAATCCTGGTTCTACTCATTCTGCTGATACCAGGGAGTGTCACAGAGTCCACGTCTGAAAAGGGAATTTTAATTGTTTTAACAACACGTCCTGAAGTTACGTTTGCTGCTTTCATCTTTTATAGCGTTCCGAATAACGGTCACAGGGCATTACAACTACACGTCTTCTTTTTTCCTCCTTGTTTTTTTTTTTTTATTACTCTCTTTTTCTAGTGCTATCGACCTCCAGCAGAAACACAACTAAGTAAAAACATTAAAGCTGAAGGAGTCTTCCTTACTCCTGTCACACATCCAGGGGGAAATAATTAAATGTGGAACATCTCGTGTTCAATTACACGTTTTACCAGAGGGGGAAACTAAGGCTTGGGTACAATTTACAGCATATACTATATATATATATATATATNTTAGTGCTTGCACTGAAGATGGTTTTATCAAGTCAAGTCTCCTGAGGGGGAAAAGGAAGAGAGGCAGTATGTGCAACATTAAAAGCATTTTTTTTTTTTAAATCAAAATTTCCCTGTAGACGTGAACAGAACGGTGTTTCTCTTTTCTTTTTTTTCTTTTTCTAACCCTACAGAGTAAACCAGAACACTAGTGCTGGTCCACTGGTCCAGTCTCTTTGACACCAACATCTACACAGTACAGTGACGCGGCCACTTTATTTTTACATTTGTGCTTAACATGTTCTAGTGCCTTACCTAGGAAAACACAATTCACTTGGAACCCCAGAGATTACATCAGCGTTAATGGAATAAAGAGACACGTTTGTATAACACATAATGTATTTAAGCGATAAACAGTGTTATTTGGGAGCTTTGTTTTTCCTTCTTGCTCAATAAATCTTTGTATTTTTGTCATGATTCTCGCTTCCTGTTTGTTTTGTTTTTTTTTGGCTCATATTTTTTGTTGTTGCCACAGCCTACTGACCAGTGGAGCGATGTCACACTCGTGGGTAAGAATGAATATCGTGCTGCAGCATTAACTTCAGATTATCTTAGTGCAGCAGTTCTCAAAATGCATTAACTTGAGATTATCTTAGTGCAGCAGTTCTCAAAATAAGGAGTGCACACCACTGGTGGTACTTCAGATAAAATCCCCCAGCCAGTAGCATAGTGGTCATGTGTGAGAAGATTGCTGGTTTGAATCCTGTCTGGGCCATGTGTGGCTTTCTTGAGCTCCCTCTAGTGGTAAACACCGATTAGTACCATTGCTATATGATCAGTTTAGAATGTTTGCTTATAATAAAAAGAATAAAAATATCAATGACAATACCAACGACAGCAGCGTCATGTCTGGATCTGGTCTGGCAGCTGCGGAGTTTCAGAAACCTGTAGAGTGAGAAGGAGAAAAGGTTTTCATTATTTTATTTGCATAACCCAATAGTTTCAAAACCTTTTCTGCAGCGCTGTTGTTGTTGTTGACTCCCCCCACATATGCAAACATAAATACCATAAAACAATAAAAAAAAAATCAAATTATTTCAAAACAACAACTTCTCAATGACAGTTTGTGACACAGCACACACCACTACACCACAACGTGCAGTTAATCGTGTGGCAGCTTGGGACAATCAGACAATCATGCAGTTGATTGTGATTAAATATTTTAATGGGACCTACTGTGTGAACCAGGGCATCGAAGGTGATGTTCTGTCAAACGACTGACTTCAGGAAAATGTCACATCCTCCTCTTTTCAGTGTCTTCATCATGTTTGAGTTTTGTATCTCACCTCTTCTCCACTCTTGTGCTCTCCTTCCTGTCCTCCTACAGGCTCCGCCCCTGCAATCACGTGGCCCTGTCCTCCTGTGTTCCCCGCCCCTGTGATTAGCTGCAACTCCTGAAATGTGTTGCACCTGTGTCTTGTCTGTGACCTCCTTGTTAGGACTGTTAGATGAGGTGCACTTGGAAAACACATATTACTACATTTATACACATATATAAATATATATTTAGCCTATGGGTGCAACTTTGGAATTTCCATTCAATCCAATTATGACCAGAGAATTCAGTTTTAAAACAAAGGCATTTATTGCGAAAAATGCACTTCACATGAAAAAACAATCGAATCAACCACGGGTCATCATTACAAGACGATGTATAATGATCACATGGTAGTGCGCTGAGCACGGTCGGCGCAGAGCATGACTTCAATGGCACCAAAGGCCTATAAATATTCTGCACAATATAGAATTTCATATATATTTATATACTTTCTTTTCTTTTCCACTTCCTCCTCCTGCTGCTGCTGCTGAACTCAACTCAAGCCGACGACGCCAACTTCTCACCAGCGGACCATTGTAACCTGTTCCTCTGTTTCTGTAAAGAGCTACATACAGTGGCTCCCTTTCCCTCACACACACACACACACACACGCTTATAAACACACACATCACAGACGTATCCATGGGAACAAATATGGCTGACATCTAATTCAAGATGGCAGGGCGAGTGCTCAGACTTCCTGGAAGGATGTTTTTAAAAAAAGAGGGGAGTACGATTTGAAATCCGATCACCAACAAAGTCCAAGGAAATGGAATCCAATGTGCAACACGGCTCGGTGTTTACGCCGGTGGGAAAATCCACCTCTGTGATTGGCTTGTTTACATTTTCCAAGCTGTCACTTTACAAAAAAAAAAAAAACTCAAGTTGTATTTACAACCAGGAAGCTGAGGCCAAAGATGAGTTCAGATCACGTTAAAAACAAAACCGAAAACATCGCACAACAACAACAACAAAACAAACAAACAAACAAAAACAGTGGTTCAAGTCTCTTTGTAAAGTGACCACTGTGCAGTGGTTGTTTTCCTGATGTTTGAACTCTTGTAAACTCTTCATCACCTCCTCCTCCTCCTCCTCATCACAGCATGGAGCTCAGCATCTCTGACAGAGTTGAGGACTTGTGCTTCAGTTAGAGTCAGAGAAATTCAGAGTCCTGTGTTGAACACGTGCGACAGCCTCGCTCTGCTCAGTTTGTGCGGAGCTCCTCTGGGACCTGCTGGTTTTTTTTTTGTTTCATCAATAAGTCGAACAGAACGAGCGGAACGTCTACACTAGAGCAGCGAACGAAGATTCCGGACGAGACAGAGGAACAGTGTGGATGGTTGTGTGTTTTGGCATTTGTAGGCACCACAGTTGGACGGAACGTTACAGAAAAAACAGACCTTTGAGAAAGAGTCACTGTTCAAACACTGACAAACACATTCACAATTCAAATATCATTTCCAATATTTGCAACAGAAGAGAAACGTCAGGCAAAACTGAAAAAAACAGTCTGAGTTTGGTGTCATGCCTCCTAACGTACTACATGTTTTTTTTTGTTTTTTTTTCGGTAGCGCTGTCAAAAGTCCAGCATAGACTGTGATAATTAATTATTAAACATTAAGAGAAAAAAAAAAGATTTTGAATGACGAACACTGAATATCCAAACATTCCACTGCCTGTTCCCTTATCGTTGCTCTAATACACAGTCGAGACCTGTTGTCATTTGAACACACTGTCAGAAACAGTTTTAGTTTCACCAAAGCACCGTGAGGCTTCAGCTTGTCTCAGACCAGACTCACCGAGTTCAGAGCACATTTTTGTCTTGACATCGACACGTCTTTTCCAAATGATTAATTCCATTATTTGGATTAGTCACAAATACAAACAGGTGTGAAACACATCCATCCACCTGTCCTTATTTGTCATTCTGTTCCTGCAAGTTATTTTGTCATATTGTGTCGATTTATTCTGGATTAATTGTAAATTATCAGATTAAAAATCACTTCTGTTCAATCATGTCACAGCCCGATGAACATGAAGTCCTACTTCTATTTAATGTTTCACGCTGAACTTGTGCTTCTACAACTGGGATTGTATTTAAATCTCATTCTTGTCTTTTTGTCCATTCACAATCAATCTGTCCAATCTGTGCTCGGCCAATGAGTGAGCTTCACCCGTTTGCACTACTTTGTGCTCTGTTTCTGTCCATTTAAAAAAAAAGTAAAAATCATTACTTTATTAATGTGTTTCACTTGAATCAGGGAGTTCCAAACCCTTGAACCACTTCAGGGAGTTAGGAAACTAATCCTTGACCGTTTTCTAAAGGTAACATTCCATCTAATCCCTGTTCCACTACCTTAACTTTTCCTGCTTTTTTGCCATTTTAGAAAATCCATTCCATTAAATTAATTAACACAGGTGACAGAGGTCACGAAGAGTTAGTTTTATCGCAACGAAAAAATAATTCTGACCCATCAAGGGCCATTAACCGAGCACTTAAAATACCTCGGTGGGGTATTCAGGCAGTAATGGAGAATTTAGCAGCTAAAAAAGAGATAAACGAGCGAATTAAAAAAGGGGTCCATCCAAACGGAACAATTTCTATCATTGTGTCGGAAAGGGCTCGGGACAAATACCAATGACTGCTGAAAGTTTAGGCATTAGGTACATGTGGTTCCTCTGGGAATCGAATCCAGGACTAACTGCCCCTTGCTTGCAAAGTGCTAACCGCTAATTGCTACAATATGAAACCATAATATATAAATAGTAATGACTGATAGACAGAATTCATGTAGGAATGAACAGAATTGAATCAGTTTCTGACAAAAAAAAAAAACTGTGATGGACAATTTGTCACAGAATCTTAGCGTAGCAACTTAGCTTCAAAGGCGTCCCTAAAAAGGCCTGGAAAACTTTTCCTGGAGACGACCTGAAACACTGGGACTAAACTCTAATTAAATATATTCATGCTTTCTTACAGAAAATGTGGATCATACTCAAAATTGATTGCAAGTGAATCAGGATTTTAAAACCTCCCTTTTCCTGTCGTTAACTACGGTTTTGGTTACACATAAAAACAGGCAAAGTTTAGGACAACCTCGGTGACAACATACAAGATTTGAGCTGGAGAATTCAGAGGAGGGAAAAGGAAATGCAGATTTCCGAAAAGCAGACTGACGTTACACAGACCACTGTGGTAAAACAAAAAAGAAAACGTTTTTTTTCCCCCCTTGTTTTTGTTGAAGAAGATGAAATAATAATCTGTGATATTTTTGGCAGTTTTTGTTGAAAACTTGTCCTTTTCCCATGTCTTCACGCTTACGCTTATTTTACAATATTGCTGCAATTCCAGAAGTTTTAGCACAAAATCACAAAAGGTAAAAAGAGGACAAACTTCTGTAGCTTCTGGACTGAGCCGTAGCTAATGTTTTTTTTTTTGTCTATCAAATACATTTCTGTCATTTCTGGCCTCAAAAAAATGCCTGCTCTTATAATACAATGTAACAAATAGCTACAAAACACTGTGGTTGTCGACGTCCTGACAGGTGGTGTCAGATTTTATGTTCAAGTGCATTTCTTTGTCTCTAATCCCACACTGAAGAGCGAAACACAGCTCTGTAGAAACAAATGTTTTGGCATCACTTCCTGTTTCCATTTTTATATTTCCTTACATTCGGTCAAACAGTTCAACGCAGCCACCAGGTCTTAAAAGCACAAAAATCAAACAAAAATGGCTGTAGAAATTTTTACAAGATTTATATATATATTTATATATATAAATAGACAAAAAAATCAATGATCTAATTTGCATTTTTTTTCTCCTGTTAAATTAAATAATCTGATGTTTCATTACAGCGTGACTAGTTCTGGGACGACACCGACATCGAATTCAACAAATACTTAAAAAATAGCTATGCTACATGCATGAACTCATATTGCGTTAAAAAAGGGAAACACGTTGTGTGCACGCCGTCGCAAACCAGACGCAGATACGCTACGCGCTGACGTTGGATCCGTTCGCCCGTCACCTCGTCGTACGATTCTGACTTTGTTTCGTAGAAAGCACCCAAATTTGAAGTTCTGAGGTCTGAGTGGAAAAGCAGAGCTGGCGCTTCTTGTGCTCGTGGTTGCTGGTGAATGATGTCAAGGAGGAGAAATGGGAGGCAGGTTCTCGTCTGTTTTTGTGCTCTCGGAGTCCGTGTGCCTTCAGTGGTCAACAGGACCAGACCAGAAGAACCAGACCAGAAGAACCAGACCAGAAGAACCAGACCAGTAGGACCAGACCTGGTCCCTGTCGTCCTGGTTTCAGCGCCGGGGTCTGAAGGCCTGGGAGAGTCGCCCTGCTTTGTCTGTGGCCGAGCTGGTCTGAGCTAGAGCTGGTTTCTGTGGTGTGTGTTGTGTGTCTGATGTGTACGGTGGGACAGTTGGTGTCAAACACAAGAAAAACTGTTTACATTTGTTCAAACCTTTAACACTTTAGAAAATAAACTTACATTTATTGAAAGTTTTAGAAAATAAATAATACTTTTTAGACAAAATTCACACAAAAAAATATAAGAAACAAATGAATGAATGAATTTTTTTAAGTGTACATGTATTTGGGTTGCAAAATGTACATTTTTTAAATTGTGAATGAAATGTTTTATCCTCTGTAAATGTACTTTTATTCCAAATGTTCATTTTTTTCATTGTGTTTTGCACCAACCGACCCCGGTTCTTTTTTCTCCCAATGTATTTGTAATCTTCGGACCAAGTAAACGCCATCATCTGTCCAACCTTCATGTGTGGCCCAGTCTATATATTCCTATTGTGTACAGTGTGTGTGTGTGTGTGTGTGTGTGTGTTTTCCTCTCTGATTCTAGTTCAGAAGCTCTCCACGAAGCTGCTGGGGAACAGGCCCGTCTGTCCCGTCCTCTGCAGGGTGCCTTTGTACCAGCCGTCCTCACGTTTCTTATGGACAAACACCACGTCTCCCTCACGCAGCTCGATCTCTGCCTCGCTCTGCGGAGGGTACGGGACCACCACCCGATACCTGCCAAACACACATTGAAAGATGCGGTGCTTAATAAGTCCTGGGATTGTTTTTTTTACATTTTGTGTTAAGACAGAAAATAGAACCTAAAACATCAAGGGATTTGAACCGCTGGATCAGATAATGATGAAAATCAATGGAAGCCAAAAAGTAGAGAAAAATAAATAAAAATGTCAGACATAAACACTGCATAAAAACGTGCGATAGAAAGGCTAAACGCTAGCAAGAAGGCTTAAATTAGCTAAATTTGACTCTCGATAAAGAAACATTGAGACTCCGTTCATTGGACTGAGACATTTACCAGATTACTGCACAGTTCAAACAGTAACAATCAGAGTCTTAGAAATACAAAACGGACTGCAAACCAAACCTTCTTGTCAAGATCAGGACATTAGATTTAAATATAGTATTTAGAAAAAAAACCCAACTTCCTGTACGTGACCATGTCTGGAACTGGACTGCCATAACTAACAGACACACTGTCAGTAATTGGGGCTAAAAGCATTGATTTGTGTCCGAGCTGTAGCTGCTCTGGAGCCAACAGTCTCATATCACACAGTTACAGCCACCATTGTGTTCACGCTGTGGTTCACCACCGTCTCACTGAGGGGTCGGGGGGGGGCATTTATCAAAATGTTGGTAAGACAAGAATGTTTTCTCTGCCACACACTGAGACAGAGGGAGCAATGTCTGCTGGGAAAACTATCGCCCCCCCCTCCAACCCCCGACTCTGCTGCAGTAACTGTGTGAGTGGTACCGATTTAACATAATGAAGTAACGACTCATGGGTCAGCCTGCAAAAAAGGACTTTGAAGAAATATATTCAGAAATATATACAGCAAATCAAATATATGCAATAATAAATATAATATTCCAGATTCTAGAATCAAACAGTTACAAGGTTTAGCTTTTTTTTTTTTAAAGTTTTATTCCTATAAAAAAACCCTTCAGGGCCTCAAAATGAGGTCTGTGGTCTGCATTTGGCACACATGCAGCCTACTAATGGCCCCTGAACTGAACTTGTGAAACGTGGCTGTTCTCTTCTTCCTCACTTTCAGATTTAAAAAAAATCTCAAGTCAAGTCTCAACAAAATAGATTTGCAAAATGTATTCATTAAATTTATGAATGTTTTTCCTGTTTCTTGTCGGGCTGTTTTTCTAAGCAGCTTCCGGACGTTTCTGACTTGAACTCTAATAATTCTCTGCTCATGTTTTTCTTTGTCAGCCTGTTGAGAAACTGCTGTTTTTTTTCTCTATTTTTTGTTTTTGTTTTTAATCAACTCTGTTTTTCTATTTTTTGTTTTTGTTTTTAATCAAACCCTGTTTCTTGACAACAGCGCCCCCCAGCTGTGAGTCGGGGTTGTGATGTATGTTCAGCTGAGTGTTGAGCTCACCTCTCTCTGGACAGGGGCTTTGGCTCCGGCCTGAGGACCATCAGAGGGTTGCAAAGCCTCGTAGCCGGAGGCGACATGGGAAAGTTTGTATCCAAGGAGCCGGACTTCCTGTGGAGCGGCTCCAGGCCGATGGCCCCTCCCATGTCACTCTCAACGGGACAGGAGCCGGCCCGTCCCTGCGACACCATTGGGCAGGAACCCGAGCGGGCGTGGTGGTAGTGAGGATGGTGTCCTGCATCTGGGGCCACGGCGCACTGACCAGGCAGCGAGGGATTGTGGGTAGGCGGGGAGGACGGAGGGGAGCGTGGTTTCTTTTTGGACGAAGCTCCTGATAACAGCTTTAACAAACCTCCGGCTTTCCTCTCCTTCTGAAGATTCAGAAAAAAACAAACAAATGTTGTTGTTTGACTTCATACACAGAAATATATCTGTTATATATTTGTCTGCCATGGGGATGGAAACACATCACACCATGTATCTGTAGTCACTTACTTGACCTTAAAATTTGAATTTATAAATCTGTGGACAATCTTTAAAACTTGTTGATCAATAATTAATCATGATTATTCGCGAATAATCGTGATTAATTGAGATAAATAAACCCTCCTAAATATTATAAAAAAAACGTATATATTTTTGGAATGGAAACAAATAACAGCAGGCAGATGTTTGTGTAGCAGGCATTAGGTAAAAATGTATAACAGAAAATTTAGCTTCAACGTTCTCCGAAGTCGCTTCCAAAACTCTGCTGTCGTCACCGTTATCAATCGGTCCGCAGCCGTCACCATCCGTTAGTCAACGGTGTCAGTGAAGGTCACCTAAATATCATGATTGGACTTTTGCCTGATTTATAAGAGGCGCTCTCTGCCAGAACACAAACACAACGGTGTTTACTCAGACTGTTGGTGAGAACAGAGAGATAACGCCGCACGTAGCCCGTTGTGTTTGTAAAAGCTCTTTCTCCAACCTTCAAAACTCCAGCAGGCATCTTTATTCTTCCCTGCTGCTTCACAGTTTTGACTCAGCACCAGGAAAAAAGAAAAAAAAAAACAGTTGGAGAGTTCTCCAGCCGTTTTCATTGTTCCCAGTTTGAGTCACCGTGTGTGACTTCAACAGACGGCGAGGTGAGCAGTGAGTGGTTAGCGCTATTAATGATCCTTCAAGCACAAATAATGTGCATCCAGTGGAACGGCCTAAAAATGAAGTGCAGTGATTACGGCTCAAGTGTTCCTTAATGACACCTATAAAAAGCCGACTCATGATTTCCCATTCACTGCCGAGGACGGCCGCCCCAGCACAATACTGTCCATTCAGCCAAAGTCAATACCGGCAAGACAAACAGCTGTCCCTCTTTTGCCTCTCGTTGCCGTTTTCCAACCGTCCATCACGACAATGTGGATCAATACTGAGCAAGAAAATAATCCGTGGCCGACGCAGGGCGCCGCCTTTGTCTCCGCCGAGGCTATTTGTTTTCCTAACGGCTGGCTGCAGGAACCAGCATCCTTTTTCTTTTTATAAATCCATTTTCTATCAAACGCTGTTGTAGCAGAACTAAGTGATGAGGCTTTGGCCGTACACGACAAAGTGCTGCCATGTCTGAAGCTCCAAAACTGAAACCTGAAAAACTCCATACAGACCGTTCACCACAGGCCTCGTCCTGGAGGGAAATGGAAAACCAGGATTTAAGAGACACAGGGGGAACGAAGGGGAGACAGTTAAGGCCGTGACCCTGCGACCTCTGACCCTTTTCCTCGAGGTTACTTTGAGGAGACTGGCAGTAAAAACACTGTGTATACATGATGAAAATAATGAACGATACAGGGATAAGTCTAAAGGTTCTAAGGCTAAACCTTTAAAAATACTCAGGAAGTTTTAGTCTTTAGACCAGGGGTGTCAAACATATGGTCTGCAGGTCAAAACCGGCCCGCTAGGGGGTTCAATGCGGCCCGCTTGGTGAATGTTGAAAGTGAAAATAGCACAAACATTTTCTTTAAGTATGAATATTTTGTAATATACTTATATATAAGTAACACATTGTGACCTGGTTTTGAAAACAAGGAATTTTTTAGAACTAGAGTTCTCAAAAACAAATTTTAAAGGTCCAATAGAGATATTTGTCAACACTGGTTTGGTCAAGTCAAAAGCCATGTCTGTAATTGGGTCACAGTCCACAAACTGGCGGCTCGTGGACCTGATGTGGACACAGCATAATCACATAATCACAGCTAATAAATGACTGCAACCTTATTCCATGAAACTTTGTTTTTATTGTGACTGTTTTTCACCGCTCCTGCCCACCAGAGTGACGGGGACGTCGTCACTCTTCGTCCAGCTGTCACAGCAAATTTAAATGCCTTCGCAGAAGGCTGAGTAATTCTGTCAATTTTTGAACAAGGCTCCAAGCAAAACACGTCTGTGTTTTATGACTGGTCTTTTCCCTGGCCTTCTGTGGCCCAGCCGAGCTCAAGGAAGAAGTCAATATCAGGCACCAAACATTCAACAAATACATTACAATACAAATACAAGAAATAATAAGACAAATCACTGTGAAGTCTCAATTTGACCTGTCAAAAAAAAGAAACCCTAAATTCTGGTTCCAGCCAGTTTTTAAATGATCTTCGCTTTGGGTAAGGATGCAGGAGTGAGTTTGAAAAAAAAAAACAAAAAACAGAACAAACCCAACGTAACTGGAGATGTAAAGTCAGGCTCCTGAATCAGAAACAACAGCTGTCTGCCTTTATTTATCTCATAATTAAGGCAAAAAATAAAAAAAAGAATTTAAAATAAATCCATCGTCGCACAGTGGTTCATGCTGTTGCCTTACGGCAGTGAGATCAACTGTTTGGACTTCCAGTATCATCTAATGATTAGAATTTGATTCACATGTCATTTAATGAGAGTCCAACTCAGCGGTGTCAAACATACGGCCTGGGGCCAAAAACTGCCCACTAGTGTTCTTGTTTGCAAAAACCTGGACTTATTGTTTATTACA